GATTTGAGGGTCTATCCATTTGTAGCACTTCTGAGATTGAGTTTGATGACCCCAAGGCCGCCCGCTCTGATGCGGATGAGCTTGCGCCAGACACCGGTGAGTTTGACCCTTCCGTGGCGCATCTGTCGCTGGCATGCAGAGTATGAGGCAGGGATAACCGTGCATGCGTGCCGGCTGTAGACGCCAATGCCGACGACGGAGCAATGGTGCCGACCCACCCAGGTCTGTCATGGCCCGCCAACTTGGCGGCAGCTAGCGTGGCCGTTCGGATGGTATACAACGCAAGCTCGCCGCTTCTGCATTGGCAGCCAGAACTGCTCGAAGCTGGTGCCGGTGACCTCCCGGTTGATCCCAAGGCACCAACTCAAAAACCCGACGAGGCTTTAGTCTCAAAGCCTGCGTCAGCCGTTGGGAGCAAGCGCACCGGTGCTTCATCAGAGAAGGTTGCAGTCCCAGCCGTGGAAGCTCCGACAGATCTGCCGCCCAAGCCACCGTCAGCACCGATTCCAGCCATTGCCATTGACGACGACGACGACGGCCAAGTCCTCCGCACTGGTACTCAAGGGTCTATGCGCTTGTATTCTGCCAAGAGCTCCAACGCTACCAATGCAGAGGGCAGAGGCGGTGATACGGGACTGCTGGACGCCCCAGATCTTGAGTTTGACAACCCAGAGCTGAGAATGCCCTCGCCCCTGGTTCCACCAAACATTTTGGACGCCGAGGTTGACCTTTCTCTGGTAGACTTTTCCGTCAAGCCCCCAGAGGCACCGCCCGCCGAGACGAGCCGAGCGCCATCAGCACGGTAGGTTTTGGTTGCTGCATGCAAAAGTTCTGTCTGGTTGCGGATGCTGAATCACTTTTCATGAGGGTCCTTTTCATTTTTTCTTTTCCTTTGCACGCAGTCGTTCGGCCACGGCATCTGCACGCAGTCGCCGTAGCGCCCGCGAGCCACGGGCCGACCCTGCAGAGGCTGCACCCGAGGTATTGGGTTTTGGTCGAGTGCCTTGCCATTAACGCTCTCCTCTCTTGCTTTTGGACGACATCCTCAGCAGCTGAAATGTGCTTTGATTCTCACAAACTCACACGTGGTCGCATCTGTAGGTCCCACCTCCTCCCACGCTGAGCGATCTGCTTGCCAAGAGCTCTGCTGGGGCCAGCAACACGTCCGATGGTCTTGAAGAGGCTCAGAACGCAGGCGACTCGATAGAACCATTGCCCCCGACCCCGGAGGTACCAGCAGATGGTCCCATCGATCTGGCACATTTTGCCATCTTAGGGGGCGTCTTTGAGCCTCGCCTCTTGTCCTTGCCAGAGACTGCGCATGTGGAAAAGAAATGGACCATTCGACCTGTGCTTGAGCCCTTTGCCCTTCAAGAACTTTCCTACCCACTCCCCAATGCCCCGCGTATCGCATCAGGTGATGGCGATGAGCTGATCGAGCCACGTGCTGGCATGGAGCAGTGGCCAGCCTTAACGCTACGCGTCCCGCGGCCGCCTGGCGTGATGTATTGCGAGGATGCATTCCCAGTCATGTGGGATTCAGAAGCACACGCATGGCACACTGGGCCTTGCAGCAACCTCAACAAAGATGCCGGCAACAATCTCATGACAATGGACGTGCTGGCTTTCCGCCCAGTTGCGATTGCACAGGCTCGCAATTTGTTTGACTGGTTGGAGGACTGGGCCCTCGTTCCATTGAAACCGCTGGCTCCCGACTACATCGCCACCACCCGCACGGTGGTGGAGCCCAACCGGCCCTCGGACGAAGAGGAGGCGCCTGGGGCTGACACGGGCAAGCTGGCCAAGCCTCCTAGCGCAGCCCCGCGCCTGCACTCAGGTCGCGGTCGGCGCTCGCGCTTGGCCTCGGCTGTGCGTGGTAGGGAATCCGAGAACCCGGTTCCACCCCCACCGCAAGCTCATCCGATGGGGAGTGTCCTGCGTCTGAAAACGGGGCGTGGCGTCTTCGTGATTGAGGTATCAGCCCAAGGCGTGCGTCTGGCCTACCCCACGGTGGAGGGAAACGCCATCCTTTCAACCTGGCAGGTGACAGCCTGTTTCATCAGGAATATGCAAGCAGCAGGTCTAGATCTTTTCCCGGCACTGCGGCCGGACTACCTGCCTGCCACGCTCAAGGTACGGCGCAACCCGGCATCATGTGAGGGTTTGTGGGTTTGTGGGTTGGTTTTACTTTGGAATGTAAATAGCCATGGGCCTTGTGTGTGTGTGTGTGTGTGTGTGTGTGTGTGTGTGTGTGTGTGTGTGTGTGTGTGTGTGTGTGTGTGTGTGTGTGTGTGTGTGTGTGTGTGTGTGTGTGTGTAAGCTTGACTTGCACCAGGGCTGACGAGACCTTCGAACTTTAGGATGCTGCGCGGGAGAACGAGTTGTATCACCAAATTGCACTCACCGCGACCCAGATTGCGTATCGCCCATCCGTGTGGACCGAAGCCACGCCGTTTGGCAGCTTCCCAATTACAGCCTGCAGCAGCCCGCTATCAACGGTTGAGGCAGCCGCAGCCGCGGCCGACATTCCTGAACTGCTTGATGTTGCTGAATTGGGTGCGCCTGATGACAAAAAGTCGCGTGAACTTGAGAGTTCAACCAAGGCTAAGAAGAGTAACAAGGGCACAAAGAAGTCTGATAAGACAGAGGCCGTAGACCCCGAAGTGGTGGAAGAACCGCCCGAAGTCGACCGGCGCAAGCTTGAAGGACTTGAGGAGAATCTGAAGCGATTGCCCGCATCCCCTTTCAATTTGTTTTATTGGCACGAGAAATATGTACACCCGTTAGCCTCGGGCGACGGTATTGTCACACTTGACCCCGATGTATATCATCACCCCGAGCACAAGGTCTGTCAATGAGCTGACCATTCTCGAGCTTGCTTTCTAGTCGCTCGTGCTCGACCCTGCCGTCTGCTGACCATCTGTTCTGGCCTTGGGCAGTCCATGGCTACCCTCTATCATGCAGTGCAGCAGCTGATGCCCAAGGGCGACTGGAGCGGCCATTTGGATGCAAACAGTGATCCGGAGTATGTTTCGGAATTGGCATTCTCGATACGGCGCTGGTGCGGTCTCGACATGCAACTCTCATTATTCTGATGCTCGATGCAGAATCAGTCAACACTTGGATCTTCTGCTCCGGGCTATCCGGCCGATCACGCGTTGTCAGCATGTGATTGCCCGTAAACACGCACGTCTGGTATGCCCTCGCACCACTTCCTCGTATCGTACGGCGTTAGACGATGATTGATACCGGATGTAAGTTTAAACTCATTTGCATCTGACCCGTCAGAATCACCTGCGTGCTACTACGTTGGAAGCTTATGCCTTGGAACGGCGGGATGTAGAGGAAAAGGTACGGCTCGCTCGTGTCTCCGAGAGGGTGGATGTAGAACAGTGCTGTTTGATTCCTCTCTTCTCAATCTGGGACTTTGCGTGTTGCGGACTGGTCTAAATGCCCTCTAATATTTGATGTGCTTGGTGGCAGGAGGCAAACCGTCAGGCTTTGCTCATGGGCGGTGCGACGGCGGCATCACGCTCTACGTCAGCACGCGTCCAGGCGCTCTCAGCCAAGGTCAACAAGTCACGTGCTGGCAAATAATGCAGCAAAATCATGCCAATCTGTAGTCCTTTCTTTAAGACTGTTGTGGGAATGGTCCGCTTCTCAAGGAGCCCTCACCATTTTCATTTCTTGAGGAGCAATTGACTCAAGATGAACGTGTGCATATGGGTATGAAAATGAGTCGTGATCCATTGTCGGGGCGTGACGCTGTGTGGCGTGCAGTCCTGACACGCGCGCTCGTGTCATCTATTTATGGCATCGATTGGCGTCACACAGTGACCAGGGCGAGCGACCGTGTTAGGTAGACGGATCGCCGCTTGTGTCATTCAGTCTTTGGATCTTGGACAGGGTTTTGAACGTCCGAGGCTGGTCGAGTAAAGGTGGATGATGTGCTGTTACGCCCACTCAAGCGGCTACGGGCTGAGGTGGCACGCGAGGCTCTTTCATCCAGGCGGAGGGCAGTAAGAGCAGAACGCGCCCGTGCGCTATTTGCAGCACTCCGCTTTTCGTCCAGCATTTGGTCGAGCAGGTCAAAATCGCCCCCATGTAGCTATGAACGGGCATGTACCGGGTCTCGTGGTGAAGGCAAGCGCTTGAAACATGGGGCGTGTCATGCTGAAAGTAGGCTATCGGGTAGCACGTACCTCGGGCGAGCCTGTGCGGACGGGGATGACAATATTGGAGGCTGGCCGCGACCGCAAAATCGTCCGGGGGGGAAGGGGCGCTTCCTCCTCGCTGCTCTCTTCCTCACCGGCCGTGCTTTCAGCTTCTTCCTCCTCTTCTTCAGCATGCTCCGAGAGGATCTCTGCGTTGGAGACTTCTGCTGTAATCACCACGTCATCTTGCAGTTCCTCCTCAGGCTCCTCTTGGATGGGCGGGGGCGGGGTGGCCTCCTTGGGCATTCGCATGTTGCTGACTACTGGGGCCTCGGGTGGTTCCTGAGGCAACTCCTCGGGTTGAAGGGTCGCTTCAGGTTCAGGCGAGATTGGTTGACTCTCGCACAAGGTTGACTGCACGATGCTCACGGCCGCCTGCGTGTCCTCTGCCTCCAGTGCTGGCTTGGTGGGCAAGGGCAATTCCGGCTCTTCATCAAGCGTGAGGACTGTCATCTGTTGGACTAGGCGGTTGGGGTCCTTGGGACCCGCCCGCTCACGCAAGTACTGGAGCACAACTGCGCAACCCTGGGCCACGACCTCTGTCGGCGGGAAATACAAGGGGTTGTTACGCAGATTCAGTTGGCGTAAGCTCTCAGAGTAGCCCATTTCCACTGGTAAGCTCGTCAGCTGATTGTTGCCCACGAGAAGAGTAGTGAGGGCTGGGTGATAGCCGATGGTATCCGGTAAAAACCCCAACTGGTTGTAGCGGGCATCCACATATCTGGGGGAACCACGTCGGGTGTTGACACAGGGCAAGCCCATGACCAGCCCAAGGTGTCGATGAGGATGAGCATCGCGAAGACACCAAGGTGAGATCATTGCCCTGCAGCACGCTGACCTCAGGAAGGGGAGCTGCTCGAATAACTCTGGAGGCAGTGCGGTCAATGCATTGTCTGATAGGTACAGTTCCTAATACGAGTCGTCCAGAGAAACGGGAGGGGGTGCAGATTGGTATCGTCAGCCTGTGGAATGGTCTTCTACCCCCAGATTGCCCCGAAAGCACGGCAAGCTACACCACATCGTGCCTTTAAAAATCAACGGATTTAGCCAACAACTTACTTCGAGATTTTGAAAGGCATAAAGCTCCTCCGGGATTACTGCCCATTCCAGCTCAGCCAGATCTAAACTCGTAGAAGCCACATCCTCCTGACAAGCGGGGCGCGCGCGTGCACGTATGTCAGGCCCACCAACGGCACACTTGAAGACCAACGTATGGCTGAACAAGCGCGTGTCTCATGAAACAAAGGGTGCATGGCAGGCAGCACGGCTGCGTACACACTGCGCTCGCTACCCGCCTACACTTGGGCAGCTTACCTGCGCGAGACGGGCCACCGCCTCCTCGTCAGCTTCGGATGGTGCGCTGAGCATGGTAGGCCAAGAAGGTCACGAGACTGGCGCCAGAAAAGGATCTGCTCTGATAAGCACCCACACGCCGCAGACTGCTGCGAGTCGAACCAGTCACGGCGTATCTACTCGTGCTTTCGGAAGGAAAGCCGGTTGCCGTGGGGTCGCTCGGGTCGGCTCGCCTTGATGGAATGCGTTGCCAACGACTTTTGTCAACAACAGCTGTTTTAATGCCTTTTGTGTCCACCCGCTTAACCAGTTCACAGCTTGAACAAACACAAATTCTCGACACAACAGGTTTTTTTTCTTTTTTTTTTCTTTTTTTTCTCTGTGCTGCTGGATCGGATTGAGATCAACGTTGCTACGCACGCGCTGCCCAACCTGCTGCTGCCGTTCCCGGGCTTGATTGATTGCGCGGGGCTGCGCTGGGTGGCTTGTTGTGTGCGTGTGCGTGTGTGTTGTTGCCTTGAGCAGCCACAATCGCCAGCATGGAGGATGACTCTGCCAACACTTTTATTATCCGACCAGAATATGCCCACAAGTACGCCGATACCTGTGGACCTGCTTGACCGCGAGCCTGGTGCCCGTCAAAGTTGGTGAGCCCGTCATCCTCATGTGTGCTCGTTTGCTTGCGTAGATTCAAGGCAGCACAGGTACAAGGTATTCTGCACGAGGCCCTGGCAGACTTTTTTGCCGATAAACAATATGACACAGAGCTGGCCCTGCAATGGGCCCAGGAGATCAGCGATTTGGTGAAGGAGAAACTCAAGGGTATGCCGGTCGTCGTCCTTTTAACAAGCCTTCTTGATGACCCACACGAGTTGCAAAAGCATCTAACTTTGGGTGTCATTGGGTGGTTGCTGTCGTCTTGAATCCACCCCGGCTCTTAGCTCTCCAGCTGCCGCGCTACAAGTACGTGGTGCAGGCAGTGATCGGCGAGCAGCGAGGCGCTGGCGTCAAGGTTGGCGCCCGTTGTCTGTGGGATTCAGATACCGATCAATTGGCCCAAGACACCTATGTCAATGTGCGTGCGCATCATGCCCCTTGGCCCTTGCTCCATCTTTTTGTGCATTGATTCTCCTATTGCTTCTGCTGTCTCTTGTCGCTTCCTGATGGAGGCCCTCATGCCTGCACTGATACGTTGCATCGCCTGTTGCAGGAGACGCTGTATTGCTCTCTGGCAGCGTATGGCGTTTACTTTTACTAAGGCTCAGCACGTAGTCAGCCTATAATCAGAATTCTTGGACAAGTCGTCGCCAGCGAAACCGGCATTATGACAAAAGCAGATGGGCTCATTTTGCACCCATGTGTGTGCTCTGGTGCACCCTGCTCCTAGCTCTCTCGTGTGGAGCGAGCATTTTCAGGGCGAGGTCGCGCCTCTTTTGATTGAAAGGGTGGGAGAGAAAGAGAAAGAGAGAGAAAGTGACACGCGGATGGAAATCCCCCCGTTGGTTTATTTCCCTCTTCCTGTCTTTTTGCGGTTGGTCCTGCCGTATTGAACGCGAGTGTTGCCGCGCAACCCTGTTTCTTCCTGTCTCGTCCTCTGCCAAGACGAATGGGACGTTGAATCGAGTTTTACGACTCCTGATGAACTAGCTCGCTTTTCGACACATCGCATCATTCACTTTCACAAGACAGGGCTTTCTTCTTGCCACATAATCCCAACCCAACCACGGCGACCCATCTGGCCAGCACTTGTGAATCCTCTAAGCCCATCATCCCCACCTCTTCCCCCGACTCACTCTGCTCCTTCTCTCCTCCCTCACTCCTTCTCATTAAATTAAACGTGTAGCTCCACTGATGTGTGTGTGTGTGTGTGTGTGTGTGTGTGTGTGTGTGTGTGTGTGTGTGTGTGTGTGTGTGTTGCTTTCTGTGTTTGTCATTTTTTTTTCTCACTTCAAAATCAGTGGCTCTCTGATCTGGTTTAGGCAGTGGTGGCGCTGGTCGTCTGTACCAACGAGATGGAGGGCTTGTTAGGCCTGCTGCGTGCCAACCTGACAGCACCCACGGCAGATTCACAGGCAGCACTGATAGCGTAGGTTACGTGCTCGCAACACACCGGTCGTCATGGCCATCAGAAAGAGTATCATGCAAGTTCTTCAGGCTGTGACCCTCACCTCCAGCGTCGCGCATTACTGGTTCCTCCCTGTAGGCTCCACCACAGCCCAGATGCATGGACACCATTGTTGGAAGTGATCCAGCGTCAGCCAGAGGCGGGAGAGGCCCAGCTTGCTGCAAGCACTCTAGCTGAGCTTGCCCGCTTTCAGTCGACAACGCTACCAGCCGAGCACGCCCAGCACCTCCAGGGACTCATCCGACCTCAGCTCACTGAGGCGCAATTCACCCCAATTCGGCGCGCCCTTGCACGCTGCCTTGCTTTTCTGTTGGCACCACGCGCCGAACATGTGCTGGAGGCTTTGGATGTTCTCCACGCCACGCCGCAGCTCAGTCTGGCCGACCGGCTTGAGCTTCTGGTTGCGCTGCGCCTCGTTCACCCGCAGGCACCCCCGCCTTCAAGTTCGGCAGTGGGTCGCTTATTGACCATGGTTTGCGATGCTGGCGTGACGCAATCTGCTACGCGCCAGACAGCCTGCACTGTTGCAGAACTCTGGTGCACAACCCCCGGACTGCGGGTCGTCGGTGTAGCTCGCATCATTGGGGCATTGGCCAGCTGTTTTGATACACCGGACATTGGTACCTTTCAGGCCGCTGCTGCAGCCCTGACGGCCGTCTGCCGTTGTTGCACTGCGCGCGATGCACAAGAAGAGCTCTTTGCGTTTCTGGTGCAGACTTCTGGTGCCTGGCTGCAGCTGTACCAGCAGTGTATACAGGAGCCCGAGGCGCGACAGGCCGTTGCCATGGCCTTTTTAGGAATTATGGCTGAGTCATTGCCCGCGCTGCATGGCGCGGCTTTGGCCAACCGGGCGGAAGATCTTGAAACGGTGGTTCACATGAACCTGGTCATCCTTGATGACCCTGCGTTACCAGTCTCACATCTGGCACTGCAACTGTGGGAGAGCCTGGAAATGCTTCTAGAAGATGCTCCCGCCACCAACGAACTTTGGACAAGATGCTTACAGAGCGTCAGTCTCAAAGCTCTGAGCCGGTGCGTCTTGTTTCTGATCTTGCTCAAGTGTTCTGATTTGAAAGGGTGTGGCCGCTCGTCAACACTATTCGTTTTGCCCTCGCCCTCACATGGGTCGCTATCACGATTTTGCTCGTGAAATCGGCACAATTCAGGCATATGCTGCCCGAGGGTGCTCGCGATGAGGTGGCTGAGGTAGTGCAAGATGATGATTGGATTGCCTTCCGACGTTGTGCTCGGTGCGTGAAGGAGATGCGATTTGAACCACGGGATTTGTGAGCACGATTCCCCTGTGGTACTCACGGGTTGTGCGATGTGTATAGCGATGTGCACGCCCAGGTGGCGCGGGGATGCGGTCCTGCGGCCGCACTAGATATCCTGCCCGATATGACGGTTGAAGGCGGAGGCCAACATCTCGACTGGCGGGAACTGGAGTCCTGCCTCTTTTACATTAAAGCCATCCTTCCCGAGGCAAGCTCTTGTTGAGTTGTCGAGCCGTGAACAGGCCTTAACAAATGTTCTTGACACGAGTCCAGCGTGTGCTCATTCTGCTTGCTTTGTCCTGCCATGACGTAGACGTGGCCACGAAACGCGATTCGAGAACATGATCCGACGCGTTGGATGCCCGTGGCAACTCGCGTGCACCAAGCCGTGACAGCAGCGTTGTCTATGGTAGGATAGCCGTCGTCGGAGGATGGCGCAGGCGATGATCTGCTAGGCGCTGATGCTTTTGTAACGCGATGCATTGCGCAGGCAAATGAACAAGAGTGGCTTATGGTTGCCATGTTTGAGCTCGGGACCGAAGGGCACGAGGCCCTAGCCAGTCTTCCTGAGCTGTCTCTACGTCTCTGGGAAAAGAGCACTGATGCCATGCTGAGTGATTTAGAGGCCCTGCGCAAGGTTTGTTGCGAGCTGCCTCAGCACCAATCGGCTCGTTCTCTGCATGCGTAGGGCCAAGGACGTGCGACAACTGCCTAATCGTGTTTGCCACCTTTTTGCTTCTGGGCACTTGATTCAGAGCGCGGCCCTGTATTTTCGACAAGTGTGTATTGCACACGGAGATTTGCTGCAGGGTGCCAATGACTTGCTTGTTTCCTTGGGCGCTGCTTGTCAATCCCTCTCGAGCCTGCCGTGAGTGAAGCCGTTTCACTCATAATTATATGCGATACAGCTTGCAAAGAGTGTACGCCTCATCAACCTTTGCCGCGCTTGCTAATAGTTCCACAATTGTGGCAGAGGGTCTGATACGTGTAGCTGCCCAACTCGATGGCGACGTATCCCAAGGTTTGATATCCTTTAATCCAGCTTGGTGTGTGTGTGTGTGTGTGTGTGTGTGTGTGTGTGTTACGCATTTGGCTGAGGATGTTCCACTGAGCGTTTGCATGTTGGTTCCTTGTAGCAATCATGTCCAGTGCGTTAGAAGCGGTGCGCACAGCCATGTCAGCCGCCGCACAAGGCCGGTCTAATGAGCCTACACGTGCCACTGAGGTGCTGGCCACAATTATTCGCTTTCTACCACGGGTGCGGCCTCATCCGATCTTTTGCGGCACTGGAGTATCATGATTTGCTTTCAGCTCAGGCTAACCCATTTTGCTTTCTTGTCTCGTTGTAAGCAGGACGCACGTGGTCGGGCCATTTTAATATCAGCATGGCGTTGGCTGCCACAAGCACTACTACAGGCCTGTGAGCAGGCAGCCGAGGCAGTTGTGCCTGTTCTGGAGCAGGCTGTCAATTTGGCGCGCAGCGACCCAACCGTGGCGCAAGAACTCTTAGCAGCCCTCGAACCGCTGCTGGGTGGTGGGTACTGTGGCTTTGGGCATCGTGACTTTGGGCGTCGCGTCACATGAGCGCAACAGGTTTTCATTCCTTAATCTGCTGCTGGTGTGGCCCTTGCGCGAATAGAACTGGCGCGTGTCCACTTGGCCATGGCATTGCGAGCGGGGGCAGCCTTGGTTGAGTCTATGGGCAGCATGCCGGCCTGCGGACCAACGCTTGAGCCCCTTTTGACGGCGCTGTTTGCTCAAGGCCTCGCCCATATGGATGTCCGTTTATGTGCTGTGCATTATATTTCGCACAGTGGGGTTGTCATGAAGGAGTGGGTTTGACATGGCTTCATTCTTGCGGTGTAGGCCGACGCGAGTGATGGCGAGGTGGCGGAGGCTGTTTTCGCCCTGCACTTTCGCATGGCGCTTTTTTCCAGTCAAACGCTCCTCAGCGATGTTCTCTTTGACGCCGTTCTTCAGGTTTGTGGGTCGGGTGACCGGCAAGTGAGCTGTGCTCTGGATTTCACTCACCCCCGCACAATTTTGATGGCTTGCCTCGCCCTGGCACTTCATCCAGCGGGCTTTTCAGGCTTTGGCCACGCCCAACCGGCGAGTGGTGAATGCGGCATTTCAGCTTTTGATACCATTCTTCAAGCGTGGGCATGCTCGGGCTCAGGCCTGGTTGCAGGTGCAGCTGGATGCGGTCGCCATGTTCGTAGCCACGGCATGTTTGGAGGCCTTTGAAGCTGAAACTCTGACGCGACTTGCGGTCCTCATTGGGGCCATCGTCAGCGGGGAACCCATGGTGCGAGACAAGGTTTTACAGGTCCTTTCGAAGCTGGGGGCCAAACCCGATGCCGTTCAGATGCTCGAAACGTCCCTGGTGGGTGACATGCTGCCCAACATTGTTCGCGATGGCCTTTTCCAGGTTTGGGAGTGCCATCGCCGTCCCTCTTGATGTCGCGGTGCCGCGAGGAGTGGGGATTAGATAAAAAGAGAGAAAAAAGGAGAAGGACAAGATCAAATCGACTATTTATTCTGACCCAACTGCTGTCAATTTGTGGTCAAGCTGAGAGCCTTACAGAGAGACAAGCCAAACAGGGTTAAGGAAATTGTCATGAAAGATGCGGCTCGCCCGAGACTGAGCGCGCTGGGGTACGGTTCAGGGCAACTCAGGCCAGCATCTCTTTCAGCTTGCCGTTGCGGATGGCAGCGACCGTGTCATCGCATCCGCCCAGCAGTTTGCCTAGGTTGTGTTTTTCAGTTTTGCAAGCACGAGTGTCAAGCTGACGGTGGATCAAGAGAAGCTGTGCGCCAAAAACAGCCCACTTGAGCTACAAAGCAAGCCTTGGGCTCACCTTTGACAAAGACGGCGGGAACCGTGCGGTGCTTGTACTGGGATTTGATGATGCCCTGCACGTCGGAGCCCTCTGCCTCCTGACCGTCGTATGATACTATTGATACGCACAGAAACACGTCACGCGGCTGTCAGGAGGCCTCCACCTGGCGGGGGCATGTCGAAGCATCTCCACGTCACTCCAAAATCCAATAGGATAAGCAATGCAAGTTGGATGGAAGGAACACCACAGAAACGAAACAAAGAGGTTGGCCAGGCCAACACGCCAGCCAGCGAGTGCGAACCGGCGCCCTGATCAAGCTCGATGACATTGTACTCGAGGCCAGCCTGGGAGAGCTCGCGCTTGGCTTGAGTGCAAAAGGGGCAGTAGCTCTTGGAGAAGACCATGAGGTCGTTGTTGGTAATGGCGCTACACCCATCCAGAGGAAGGTGAGAGCAACCGATTGAGCGACGGCACCGCACGCATCAACACTGAAGTCACTGACTGACCTTTGGACGATGGCGTTGGCACTCATGTTGTTGGTGGTGTTATCCGATGAACCGGCGGACAAGTACTGGCCCATTTCAAGGCCAAGAAGCTCGGATAGGTGAAATGAAATGCAGTGCAGGCCAAGACAATGAACCTCACGCGCTGCCGAAAAAAAAAAGTCAAGTCGAGAAATAGGGGGCTGATGGTTGGAGAGAGACAGAGAGAGGAAATGCAACTTGACTTTTGTTCTCTCTCTTTCTCTTTTCCAAACCAATTCACTTCTCTCTTTCTCTTCTCTCTCTCTCTCTCTCTTTCTCTGTGCCTTTCTTCTCTAAGTCCTCTCGATTCTCTCTCCTTTCTCTTTCTCTCTCCTTTCTCTCTCTCTCCCTTTATCGCTACTTTTCTTTGTGTCTCTCGCGTATTTTAACATCATCATGTCAGATTCTTCTCGTCATCATGACGGCCAGCCATGGATGACGTGGAAAAGTATATTACTTCTTAAATGATAGGTATTGGGCCGAATAAGGTGTAATAAGGCTGGTGAAATACTTTTCCAGGCTTGGAAACCAGTTTTTTTTTTCCTGTGCCAAAATTTTAATTTCACAGTTTACACAGACGGCGAGCAGCCGGCGAACGCAGCGGGATGGCGGCCTCCAATCTCGTCGAGCAGATCCAGGTGCTGCAGGTATGTTCGCGGCAGGTTTGGGCTGCGTTGAAATCGTGCGTTGAGGCTTGCGCACGGTCATGTCTCTCACTCTGGAAGACAACCTTTGTGCGTTGGGATTGATAGCGGGATATCCAGGGCCTGCTCTTGAGCTCGCGACATGTTCACGTCGGCAGCTGGTACATGCCCTCTGTGTGTGCCTTTGAATTGGATGTTGACACAATCCTTGGACACCTGGCCCCGGTCATGGATCCCGAGCATGATGGTGCGCGCGCTAGGGCCTGCCCCCTCTCCCCCCTCCCGCCCCGTGCATTGCTGGCCAACTTCCCTCACCAGCAGTCATCCACCTTGCGTGCATTGCCTGGCACGACCTGGTCTAGCCTTTGCTCATCGACGACTATTACAGCTCCTGACAGATCGACTCTTGACGCGTCTATATCTGGTCCACCTCAACTGTGTCCAACATGTGCAGCAGCATGCCCCCGCTGATGCCCTGCCTGCGGCCCTGCTCCGCCCTTCGCCAGGTTAGCACCGCCTTCCTCCATCGCCCCATGAGAACTGGCTGCGTTTGCTCCGTCAGGCCTGAGTTACCACCGACTCTTTTGCTGGCTTCTTGCAGTTGCTGCGATCACTTCACCCTCTGTCGTCGATTGGATGGCGAATATGCTGAACGAGCTCAGCACTTCTGTTGTGACGCTCGCGACCAATCTGGTGCGTGTCGGACCCACCCTCCTCGTGGATCGCACCGGTGGACCCGGCTTTTCATTGACATGGATGGGGGCCACACTTGTAGGATGATATGCAGACCAAGCTGGGAGAAGTAGCTCTGCATGCGAGTGAGAAAGAGGAGGAGCTGGCCACCTTTCGTCATCTGTTGGAGGAACGCGATCCGGCCACTGGTGGGTGCTGATTACCACAGAGCAGACAAACCACGCCCTTGTTACTGAATTTGACCTGGGCCAGGTGTGGCCTGATGGTCAGCAAACACTTTTTCTGTTCTGTAGGCGCTATGAGTGGCTCGCGCCAAACGACAACGCAGCCCCAAGAATGGATGTCTCGCTGGAAGCAAGCGTTTCTTGAAGCAAGTGTTATCGCAGCTCACCTGCACACAAACTGACCCTCGGCCCAATCCTGCTTGATATCAAGCCCGGCATCACCCAAGCTAACAGGCAGATGAACTCTTCTTATCCATTCATTTAGATTAAAAGTGCAGCCCAGCACCGCGCCCACCAGAAGCGTGCAGAGGCTGCACCTGCACCAAAGTCCAGTCGACGAGATCAGGAGGTTCAGGTTTGTGAGCTTCTGGTGCTGCTGCTCCCTGATGATTCTGTGGTTTGCTACCCACACGGGCCGGTGGATGGCCGTTGATTCATGGGCAAATGCAGTTGAACTAAGCCTGCACTGCCTCGTACGCAACAGGCGGATATTGTCGTGGATATGGCTGCTCGAGAGGAGCGGTTTGAGGCCCGGCGATTCGTCACTGTAGCCAAGGCTGTACATCAAGTTTATAGCGAGTTCCTTGGCCTTTCGCTTCATGTATGTGGTGGTGGGCAAAGGCAGAATGCTCGCGTGTGTGTCTCAGTGCACTCATGGAGAGTGTTTGGCAGGAGCGGAGCGGTGCCGATGCGTGGGCAAAAGGGAGCCCTCTATCATGCAGTGAGCGGCTGGCTGAATGGCTCAATTTTTTTGCAAAGTGCCTCAAGGTCTGTCCCATTCCCTGTCTTGTTTTATGTTGATCAAGGACCTGCACCCAACTTCAAAGTAGTCCATTATAGCCATTTGTTCTCTGGTTGGTCTGACCATGTCTCCCCGGCCCATCACAGCGCCTTGACGACCGCGTCAGGCTTTCAGAGGCTGAGTGCATTGAGGCTCGGAGGCAACGGGATGTGGCCGAGGCGCGCGCTGATGCCACTGACCGCCTGCTCCAGGTGAGGCAGCACCACGTGCATGCGTCTGTGTATGTAGCGCTTCGTCTCACCCTGGCATGACTGCCTCTAGGATCAACACGCCACGCTAGAGGCCGCACACCAGCAAGTATTGGCAGAACGAAGTGCAGCTGCTGAGGCTCGTGTCGTCGAGCTCCGCGACAAGTTTATGCTCGAGCTTGACGAAGCGCGAAGTACCATTGCTCAACTTGAGCAAACGCTGGAGGAGCGAGACCAAACCGTAGAGCAATTCACCGAACGGTAAGATAAAGGCGTGTTCATCCATGTGAATGTCCCTGGCCTTGTCACCGATACATCGTTTCACGACTGGTTGCTCTAGTATCGGTGAGTTGGAGGCGCAGGTGAAGAGTCAGGACGAGACGATTGCTACTCTTACGACTTCCAATGAGCGGCTAAACAAGCGGGTGCAGGACATGCAGGCAAAGCTTGCCACGGTACGGTCGGGACAAGGTGCAGACGACGACAAAGCAGCATTGCCAGGCGAGTCTGCTCACCAAACACGCTTGCCTCGTACTCCGCTGACGGGGTCTATAGCTGAAGCTAGTAGAGAAGGAGCTAGCCAAATCCAAACTTGCCTACGATAAAATCCAAGAAGGCGGGCACGCTGCCGAAGCGCGCTTGGAGGAGTACAAAGCCATACAATCATCCCAGGTGCGCCAACTCCGAGAGGCCCGTGAGGCGAACCAAGCCTTACAGGCGTGTCTTGAAGAAAAGGCCAAGGATATCAGCGGTACGTTGTGCACACATCTATTTCTCGCTTCTACAAATCGGGTTATTCTGGTGGCACTTGATGGCCGCTGCTGATGTTCATGGTGTGGCCCGTCCTTTGTTGGTCACAGGCTTCAGAGCGCAAGTGGCCGAGCTGGAGGCACGTCTTCAGGACCGACCTATGCTCGTAGGTCCTCTTTTGTTTCTCGTTGAGCCTTGACGTTGCTGGCTGCACAGCCCTGGCGTGTTTTTCTTCCAATTTTCTGCTCGCTCGCTTGGCACGGGCTCATGTTTGAAATTTTTTTGCCATCGCATCGTTGTTCAAATACAGAAGCAGCAAACCGAGGCCACCCAGACTGACCCTCCTGCTCACGATGAGGCGCACTGGAAGAATTTGATGGCTGAGAGCGCCGCCGAAGTGGCCGAGCTGCGTGAGACGCTTGCCGCTTCCAAACACCGAGAGACGGATTTGCAAACACACGTCACCAGGTACCGTGCTGCATCACTATTTCCTTGTTGTTTTATGTTCCAGAGCATAGGTTGGCGTCAAAGCATCTGGTCCACAGTTCTCTCACACCCCATGCGTGCGTCCATTGCACGTTCTTTTGCTGTTGGTACATTTTGCTTGGATTGCAGGTTGGAAGCAGAGCTGGCTCGCTGTCAAGCAGCCTTGCAGCAGCCATCACCTCCACAACCACAGTCAGAAGCTCCCACCACAAAGCCAAGCCCAATCGTCGAGGACGTACCTCCCAGCCCGCCGCTCGAGCCATCCAAGGCCGTAGTAGCTCAAACTACGAAGGATACCCAACCTCCAAGGACAGAGGAGCCCTTTTCTCTTCCATTTGTGTAAGTGATGGGGATTTGATCTGGAACGGCCCGGCACCCACACGCCATCCGAACCTGGCGGTGTGTGTTTGACTGCGCCTTTTACACACTTAGGGGCAATAAGCCAATTCGCACTTGGGCAAAAACAGACTGGAAGGCAGGGGCACCCCCGCCGTCAAGCGCACTGACAGGAACGATCCAGCCTTCAATTTCTCCCATTGAAGATCGCGAAGAAGAGCTAGAGGACTGGCTGGAAGACTTGGCCCCACACCAGGAGGACACTGATTTGGACCTTGCACCCCCTTCTCGGCCAGCTTCAAGTGTTGTCCCGGCGCAGAGGCCGCCGCTCAATGTTCGACGCGAGCGACCGGCTACGTCGACAACACCTGCCCCTTCGACAACGCCTGCCCCTTCTTCAACAGCCGGACGTCCTCCGGTTCAGCCTCTCCCACCAAGCGCGCCAAAGACGCTTGCGCGGCGCCAGGTGCGTTTGGTCTCTCTGCCTCACGCTCGCACGCCATTGTTTTTTTCGTGAGCCATGTCGTGAGCGCAATCTAGGCTCGACAGCTTGGGCTGGACCTTTGCTCGCGGACACTAACGGCCCTTCTTTGTGCTTTCGGTCGTGTGATAGACGCCCATTCAACGTATCATGGCCGCCAAGAAGCGACATCAGGGGCACGCATTCAAGTGAGATTGGAGATTGGGCGCGCAATGCAGGCCGCAATCTACCCGATAACGTCAGATGTACAAGAAAGTTTGCGTCAGAAATTCAATTGGCACGCGCGTGTTTGTTTCTGCACCCTCGGAATTTGACGCAGTACAAGAAAGCCACGCCAGGGTTGGATCCACAAGCATGGCGGGGATGACGAACAGGCCTGGCGGGGATGACGGACAGGCATGACAAGCTCTTATTGGTCCAAAAGGGGTTTGATGTGCTTCTTTGCAAAGGCGGCAAACTTGGTGGGGGGACGTCCCAGCAAGGCAGCAGTATCAGAGGAGAGATCCTGACCATGGTCTTGCACAAAATACGACAGCATCTCGACGTTGCCTCGAGCAAGCCACTCTGGCAGTCCCAGGGCTTGAAACGCAAGACTGGCCGTTTCTTCGTCCACGTTTTCATAGGCAACGTTGTGCCCGGTGCTCATGGAGATGGCCGTTGCCTAATGAAGTGGCGAGGACACAACGTGCAATCAGCCGTTAAATGGGTGCCAGGACAGGGCTGAGCATAGAGTTGAGGGTGAGGCTGTACCGACAAACGCACAATTTGGTTGCCAGCTTGATATTCACCAATCAGGTTGTAGGTGCGACCCCCGTGCTCTTCGGGATCTACCAACAGTTTGGCGACGATCTGTCGCGGCAAACACATCATGTTCGCGTAAGCATGGCACATGGCAGTGCCCAATCGAACTGGTTCCACAGAATATGGCTGGGAACGAGTGAGAACGCACCTCGCCAATGTCCTCAAGATCAATGTGTGGGATAGCGCCAGCAGCGCCGCCACTGCCCAGCGGGTAATAGAGTGTGCCCGAGGCCATGGAGCCAAGGCTCCCGAAGAAATTTTGGTAAAAGAATCCCGAGCGTAGGATAATGGGCCGCAGCACCTGTTTGCCTGTATCACCCAGTTGCTTTTTGACGGGGGTACCGGCCTTGGCCTTGCAGTAGTCCTCGATGGCCGAAAACTGGCGTTGATATTCAATGGCTTGCTTGTCTGCGGGCGAGCAGGGGTGAGATGCAGCAACTCGTGCATGTGGGCTATATTTGGGGACAAGCGGTGAAGGTTCGCACCGGCATCCAGGACACTCATGATGACGGGAAAGTCCACGCCATAGGTGATGCAGGCGTCGATGAATTTCTTTGTGGGAGTCACACGGTCTGAGCGAGCATCAGGGAGCCAGGCTTAGTGGGATGACAGGGATGGGGCTGACAAAGTGTGTCAGTGGATGAAACACCTGACTGAAACTGCGAGAAGGAGGCCGCTGTAGGGGCAGGGCACCAAGACACGAACCGGGCGCGGTCGGGGTGGCCCAGAAGGCTGCGTTGACCTTGTCGTCAAAAGCCTTGCTGAGAAGAGCTGGCTGATCCACATCCGCACGCACAATCTGATGGTTGTCAGCGCAGGCAAAGTAGAGGCGGCGTGTCAGTGTGGCGAGTATGTCAGTGCGCGCGCGTTTATCTGCCTTGTCCAAGGATGAGAGCAGGGCAAAGAGGCACCGCAGCATCAACTCACCTCGACATCAAGGTGCTCGAGCAAACGAGCGCGATCCATCTTGCGTACAGCAGCGCGGACCTTGATCTTGTCGCCATACTTGGCCAGCAACGCCTTCACAGTCTCATGACCTATGTGTTTGTGAGGTGGCGCAGGCCAAGCGTGTGAGTAAGTGCGTGCGTGCGTGCGTGCGTGCGTGTGAGAGTATTTGATGCAGCGAGGAGGCTCGGCCAGTATCACATCGGAAGAGGAAAGGGCCGACAACGACGCACCCGTGTTGGAATTGCCGGTAAACACCAAGACCACCGGCTTGCTTTCAGCTTCTTCCGCCATGGTACTGTTCACAGGAGGAGAGAAATAATCGGCACAGGCAAGTTAAAGGATCCACCAAAGTAAGGAGGGAGGGAGGAAAAACACCAAAAGACAAGATATGGCAACCAATGTGCATCACCCAGGGCGGAGTTCGATAACATACGTTTGTTGTCGACTCGAGGTACGTCCAGGCTGTGCTTCCACTTTTCTCAATTGCAGGGTGCAGCCTCCGCCCCCCGACTGGCTTGCTCCACCTCGACCGAAGTGCATGCATGCAAGGAACCTTTAGTTTTGCTTGTAAGCAACTTTATTAGACTGGCGAAGACAGTGAAGTTGAAGATGGTGGACGGTGTTGCAACTGGTGTTTTGAACATACACTTACCACGATGATGGCGACCACCACGGGCGCGCGGCTGCTGTGCGGCGGCGGTTCCCAGCTCCGCTTCGTTGTGGCGGCAGCGGCAGCCGGTACAGGACGCAGCTCTTTGACGGCTCTAGCCAAACGGTATGTGGGCACCATGGTTTATTGTCGTGCGCTGTGTTGGAGTCAGCACTCGTGTGCACCATGTCGGCATGGCCCAATTTATGCTCTGACCTTACCCGTCCTCGTGCTGCTTGATCATCTGCGGCGGTTCTCCATCATGTGCAGCCCGGCACTGCGTAGCGCGGTGCTGGTGGCTCGCGCTGGACTAGCCACGACACCACGTGTGCTCTCCTCGGCCACCGCCACGGCAGCGGAAGAGGGCCAAAAGCCACCCTTCGTCGTGCCGGAAGACGTGCCAGCCATTCAGTACGCGTTTGAGCTGCACACGCGCCTTTGTTGGCCCAAGCAACGACAACTCATCCATTCCCTCGCTCCGTACGACTCGCATTCTTTGTTTCGTGCTGCCTTGCTTTGCCTCGTACGGCCGCAGGTTTGTGCAACAGCAGACCGAGCCAGTTTTTGACTTTGAGTCTGCAACTCAAGTACTTCGGGCCTTGTCTGTCAACCCCGAAACCATTGAGGCCCATTTCAAGGTCTCTATGCGTGGTGATAAGACGGTAAGGGCGTGACCTCTGACTCATCCCATTGCACCAAATTTGCGCAAGTGCCGACAAAGCTTGGCGCTTCCTTATCGCGCTTGTGCCTTGATGCCACGTTTTCGCTTCTCTCTCCGCAGAAGAAGAAGGGCCGCCCACGTGACCCCATCCGCGGCGTCTTGGTCATGCCAAACCTTTTCCGGCCGCTTCGCCGTGTTGTTGTTTTTGCAGATGTACGGACTCGACTTGCTGCTGCGCTATGCAGCTGCCTGCTTTGGCGCGCCGTTATTTGATGGACAAAATCAATTTTAGCGTTTGGTCACGGTACCGGATCTCATTCCTATTTCGTTCCTTAGGGCGAGGATGCACAACTGGCCCGTGAGGCTGGCGCGTACCGCGTAGGCGGACCTGAAATGCTCGCCGATGTATGTCTTGATGACCTGTGTATCCTCATCACCCAATGACCTTATCCGTGCAGGTCAAGATCTCATAGCCGATTGTCCATCTACAACAGTTTGAGCGTGGGCGCATCGAGTATGACATTATCATGGCCACCACAAGTATGGCCCGCGAAATCAAGCGCGAGGGAGGTCGCGTGCTTCGCGCCAACATGCCCACGGAGAAGAAGGGTGAGTTTTGCTGTTCTTGGCTTGGCCCGCTGGTCAATGATTCCACATCAAAGTCACCTGCTGATGCATTCCGCTCTCCCTTGCGTAGGAACCGTGGTTGATGACATCGCCGAGGCCGTGCCTCGAGTAGCTCGTGGTGTCAGCTTTCGAAGCGATGCTCATGGCGCCATCAACATTCCCGTTGCCAAGGTGAGGCGTCCTATGCACCGCTGTCATTGGTCGCGGGTTCCTCCCGCCCATGCAAGCGTTGCGCGCTCTTTGCGACGCTCGTATCGTCGGGCCATTAGTTTTGTGTCTTGCCCTTTTGGTGCCAGTTTTCCTTGCCTTTCACGTCTTGCGGTCCTGCTGTTGACGCGCTGGGATGTGAATAGACTACCATGACGGTGGAACAAATTGAGGCCAACGTGGTCGCGGCCATGCAGGGCCTGATGACATACAGCCTGGGCGAGCGCACCAAGTTTATTGAACAGCTGTATCTGTCCGCACAGCAGACCCCTGGCATGCGCGTGACCCATGATCCTCTGGTTGCGCAGGCGCTCGAGTAGGCTTGCAGTGTACTGCCACAGGCTTGTCGTGCCACCGATTTTTGTTTTTGTTTTTACCTGACATGCACCCTGCATCTCTCCCTCCCTTCCTCTTTCTTTTCTGCAACTACTTGCCATGGCCTACGGGTGTCTGAGCCGAGCTGTATGACCTATTTCTCAATTAAACAAAAGATGAACAAAGGCATTCAGAGGCCTTTCCTTCCCTCTTTATGTTGCCTGCCTTGTACTTTCTCTGTTTGCGCTATGCAGAGTTAAAGCAGCAACCGTGCATCCTCAAAACTGTATGGCAGCAAGCTTTCTTTTCATGCTTCCATAGCTTCACGATGTGGGGTGAGCTCGGTCTTCCATTCCACCAGACGAAAGGCTCTGCGAACAGTGGGCAGGTGATGAGGAGCGCGTCTGCGGCTCAGACTTACAAGCGTGCGGGCACAAACCTGAGGATATCCACCAAATGGCGCACAAGAGGCCGCAAGCCTGCACCGAGAAGCGTCTCGAGAGCGTCGGCAAGCGTGGCACCGGTTTGACGCACCAGGACCAGCGCCGGGTGGATAAAGCCATGGAAGAGGGCATGTAGCAGGGGTTTGAAGATAATGTCCCCTACCAACGCCAATAGTTCGATAATCACCTGCCACCGGGGCACCGAAACGGATGTCAGCTGCGCTCATTGATCCGCATTGTGCCACAAATCGAGACCACCAACCTTGCGGACAATATGCAGCAGCAGGCCCACAAGCTCAAATAGGAGGGCCAGAAAGATGTTGATGCCCGCCTTGAGGACCGCGAAAACCGCGGCAAACACTTGCCGCGACTCCTTTTCAACAGTAATAGCACAATGGTCAATGCCGTGACTACCGTTGTAGCCGCGCGCATGGTATCCATCGCGGTCATAGTTGAACACAAACGTTTCCTTGGGCATCTTGGCCACGTTCCCACCACAAGCGCTCTCCTCGGCGCTCCATGGCACTGGCACCAGTTCCACGAACACAACAAGCACATGTCAAATAGCAGTAGATAGCAGGGGGGGGGGGGGGCGGGTGAGAACCACACGCCGCACACTTGGCACGGACCAGGCACATATGCATCGAGGCCCCATGCATCACTTACGATCGCCTCCGGCATAATCAAAATGGTGAGTGGAGGCTTGGTCTGCGGGCCGACCTGAAGTCCAGCTGTGAGCGGATGGCAGCCCAGGTGCATGCCACGAGGATGTAGCATTCCGGGATCCCAGGCTTTCAGCGGCAGTGATGGGTGCTGGGGCGCCTCCAGGCCCAGAAGCCACGGGGGGCGTGCCCGCTGCAGTCACTGGTACCAGCTTCTCGGTGGGCTCAAAGGTTGGGGTAGAGCTTGGCGTGTGGCCAACTTCAGACGTTACCGTGTGTTGCGTCTCCATGGAAAGCGGTGTCGTGCTGGCTGGCTGGCGTCGTCCGAAGAGCCGTGAAGATGCCGATCGCTCTGTTGTTGTTGCAATGTCAGCAGCTTGGTCTCGTTTCTTAGGCTTGCTCCTATCCTTCTTGGAAGTCTTTTCTTTATCTCGGCGCTGTGGACACAGCGTAGGGGTATGTGTGGGGAATGGACAGTCGCGGGTAAGAAATGCAACGGTGTGTAGGCCTGTGATTGGAAACGTGTACGCACCGAGCGGGAACTGCGCTTGGCAACGCGAGATTTCGTTGGTTGCACTGGTGGCTGTTGGTTTGGATTAGCCAAGTGCTCGTCTTGATCATCCTCATCCTCATCCTCATCCTCGTCTTCATCGTCGTTGATAGCATGGTCCCTGTCGACTTTGGCCAGGCCTTGCGTGGTAGGTGGGGCCATCTGTTGCGTAACGGCCGGCATTGGGCTCGGAGCAGATGCATGGGCCTATCGAGCGGAGGGCGACTCATGGTTCAGCAAGCACACGCGCCAAGGAACAATCCACGGGGTGGGCAGGCGCACCGGGACTGGCGAAGCAAAAGCGGTCGCACGGGCAGACACATTGGCTTCTAGATCTAATCAGGCAAGCCATGCAAGAGATTGTTGGGTCCCATGTTAACAGAGACAGGGACGCTCGTCACGCGGCGCCTCGAGCAGGCCAACAAAGACGGTACCAGGTTGGTGCATGGGCTTTGCCGTCGGCTTGGAAGCATTGCTGGGGATCGTGTGCTCGGATGGCGCCGTTTTGGGGGGTGTTTGGGATCCCGATGGAGCTCCCACAGTTGTTTTGCGCTGGGCCAAGGGCGAGGAGGCGGGCGGTGCAGTTTTTGGGACAGACTTGGTTTCTGCCCCTTCATCAGGAGAATCCCAGTCGGATTCGATGCCAGCGTTAGCTCCTGTAGGTTCGTTGGCAGCAAAAGCCTTGACCACCTGGGTTGTGGAGGAAGCTAGATGAGTGCTGCGTGCCACCGGCGACCGCACGCGACCTGCGTGGCGTACCTTGGGCGGTTGCTTTGGCGAGGGGACGGGCGAGGGGTCTTCATCACCGGACATAAAGTCCCAGGAGTTGTCACTCTCCGCCTACGCGTGGGATTTGGTGTGATGAACAAGGTGGAAATGCGACCCAGGCCTTGCGCACGCGGGGTTGCGCGCACCATGTCGGTTTTGTCGCGAAGAAGGCTCGTCAACGGCGGGCGTTCAGGCTACACAAGGACGGGCCGAGGCCAAAGTGAGCTGGCATCAATTCTGAGCCCTGCATTGACATGCACATGGGAAGCTGTGCAAAAAAAAAAAAGGTAATTGGCGCGTTGCCAAGTTCCATGGCTTACTGTACCTGGTTGGCAGCGCGCTGGAACAGCATGGTACGTGCGGTGGCAGCAAGGCAAGCAGGGCGGTTGTCAGGGTGTGCGAGAATGCCTCGACCTGACGTGCGGGTGAACATTGGGCAGGGACTAGCACCTGTTGCCGAGTGGTAGGCAATGTCTCGGCGTCAATGGATGCCTGATATCCGGAGAGGCGATTGGAACTACGGCCACCGGGGATGGCACTGCTGGCCTCGGACCGTAGCGGCATGCCCTTTGCCTCTTCACACCTGCCAGCTGGGCACAGGTGCAGCTCGCACTACAAAGGCAGCAAGCTCCAGAAGAGCCGGTTCTGCTTTCGCTTGACGGTTGCGTCACCTGCCAAGCCCAAGCAACCGTGAGCTCCTTCACCTACAAACGCAGAACGACGGGCTGCGCGCACCCCCGCCCCTGCCTCGCGATCCGACGTACCGTACCAACACTTCCAACTCGAAAAAAAAAAAAAAAAAAAGGAAAAATTTCAAACAAAAAATTTAAAAATTCACTCTCTCTCTCAAAATGTCAGCACACATTCACAACCACAACAGTGCCAATCTAAGAACACACTCTGTCTCTGTCTCTCTGTCTCTCTCTCTCTCTCTCTGTCGTTATTAAATTTTGCTCTTTCTCTCTCTCTCTCTCTCTCTCTCTTTTTTATTTTTTTTATTTTGTGTTTCTGACTCTCTCATCTCTCTCGTCTCTCTCTTCTCTGGTCTCGTCTCTGTGTGTGTGTGTCCGTGTGTCTCGGTCGCTGTCGTTTTTGTTGGTGTCGGTGTCGGTGTTGGTGTCGGTGTCGGTGGCGGCAGGGGGCGGGAATCGCAGGGTTGGAAGGAGAAGGACGAGAGGTGGGTGGTGGGGCTGCACCATCGAGGGCGCGGATCTGGATCTGTGGGTGCGGATGGGCGCGTCCCAAATAGTTGTTCAGGGCTTTGCCCCCGTTTCGAGCCCCTGATGCGCTCGGCTCGTCAGCAGGAGCCATGGCACACAAGCGGTCCATGTCCATTGTGGCCCAGGTGCCAGAGACGCAGCAGCTGTTGTTTTCTAGTCCCGTACCAGCAGCCCTACGCTGCCCATTGTGCGAGCGCGTGTTTCAAGATCCGGTCATCGCCATCGACTGTGGGCACAGCTTTTGCCAGGAATGCTTGAGCGATGCGGCCGATCAGGGCCTCTGCTGCCCACGGGATGCCGACTCCAAGCTCGACGCGACGCGTGTCATCCCCAATAAAGCCATTGCCGATCAGATTCGAGAACTTCATGTCTATTGCCCCAATTGCGAGTGTGTCCCGGCCTCGCGCGAGGAAATGGCCAAGTCCGACACACACAACCGGCTCATTTACGACGCTGCGGGGCAGCCCGTGGGCATGGTGGCCAACAGCGGGTGCACATACTGCACCTCGGTGGCTGAGGTGCCTCAACATCTTACCAACTGCGCATTCATGCCCGTGCCTTGCCCCAATGCTGCCGAATGTGGTCTCATCCCCGCCCATCGTCTCAACGCCCACATCTCCATCTGCCCACACACCCCTTGCCGTTACGCCGGTTTTGGCTGCACCTTTCGCAGTACGCCAGAAGAGGTGGCTCAACATAGCAACCAGGCCTGTGAGTACGGCGACGAACCCCTAGCCCGCCAAGGCCGCCTCTTGCAATCCCTGGTGGAGACAGCCGACCAGCTCACCGTCCTCGTTGAGAGTCTCCACGCCAAGGCCATGGATCTCGAAGCCCGACAAGAGGACTTGGCGCAAGGCAAGCCGCATCCGCTTACCCTCAGTCGACGTCCCAGTGTCGGAGCCGGCGCGCGCGCGCGTGCACTGCCTCCCAATCGCGCTGGCTGGGGTGCGGAGCAATATGAGCGGACAGGAGTTGGTCCCACGAACCACGATGGTCCGGCTGTCGGCGATGGCCGGCCGACCATGCCGTTGTGGATGCAGGAGGCGCAGGCCAAGTTTGGCCGGGCCGATGCGGATGACCTATTGGACAGCTGGCACGATGATCGGTACCATCGTATCAGTGCTGTGCATCGCCCCTCCGTTGAGGTCTCGATGCACAAACAACACCTCAAACCACACAACCACGGCCTTGGGCGCGTCGCGTTGCCAAACGGCCAAGAACTGGAGCTGCCCTTCAACTACCAGTGTGACGGTACTCTAAGAGCTCACCTTGGCCCCGTTTGGTGTATCGAGTGCTACGAAGATCTCATGTTCTCTGCCGGCAGCGACGAAACGGACATTCATGTCTGGGACCTCGCACCGCGTGAGCCCAAACGGCTTCGCCTCCTACAGGGTCACCAGGCCATGGTGCATAGCCTGCATGTCCGGGATAACCGGCTTTTTAGTGGCGATGAAGCGCGTCTCGTACGGGTCTGGGACCTTGAGACCTTTGAGTGCCTCCTCTCCTTTGAGGCCTGCCGCCACATTGTCAGCACTCTGGTATCGGCACAGAACCTGCTTATTGCCGGCTCCTACGCAAGCATGGCTGTCTGGAACATCGACTCCAAACGCCGGCACACCGTGGTCACACAGGGCTTGACCCACTGGATTCGAGCCATGTGTGTCACAGAGGACGAACGCTACCTCTTCACCGCCACCCACGATCTGGTTTGTATGCCACCTCGTTTCTCGTTTTCGTTCGTTCGTTTTTTTTTTTGTTTTTTTTTTGTTTTTTGTTTTTTTTTGATATTTCGGCCCAAGGCACAAATTCGAAGCAACGTTTTGCTCCTGTGTCTCACCTCATTTGCATTTCTATTTTTCTTCCTTTTCTCTCGCTTGTTGGGTTTTCTGGACATCTCAATAGATCAAGGCCTGGGAGGTGCCCGACTTCACAGAGGCCTGCAAGATCAAGACAAACTACGGCAGCATCCACTCAATGACCCTTACACCGCGCCACATCATCATCGGTATGTGCGCATTCACACTTTGAGTCGCTTCAGGCGCCATTGGCAATATATCTTGGTGCTGCGCCGGTCTGACAGCTCACTGTAATCTGCTTTTAAAAAAAAAAAAATGGTGAACAGGGACCTACAATCGTCACATTCACATATATTCAATCCGCGACCAGCAACATGTGCTCGAGCTCAAGGGTCACCTTGGCACGTAAGTGAACGCGCATTTGAATACCCAGCACCCTTGCTTTGCTCCTTTGCTTGCTCAAGCACGCGCACCTCAAACTCGGCGATGCACATGCTGCTTGTCTCGATCCCGGGGCTTAGGGTGCACTCGCTGGCTGTTTCAATTTCCGGGCGCTTCCTCTTTTCCGCTTCCCTAGATCAAACCACAAAGGTATGAGAGCTTGTTGGGCGATCAAATTTGTGGAGCGTGCCATCTCACCATCTGACACAGCATGCCATGTCGTGTATACGTCACTCATGTTGCGGCAAATTTGCGAGGCAGGTGTGGGATTTGGAAAAGCAAGGCTTGATTATCCAGTCCTTGAATCGGCATGATGCATCCGTCAATGTTCTCAAGTGGTCTGGCAATCGCCTCCTGACTGGGTCCGCCGATTGCACCATCAAGGTATGCTGCACCTGACACGTTCTGCTTTTGACGTGGGCGCAAGGGTGGCTGTAATTCCACCACATGTTGCTGCGCTAATTGTGCATCAGAAAAGCACACACCCCCTAAGAAAATAAATAAATCTGGGAGCTTGTACTGTGAATGACCGTATGCCCTGCGTGTGCCTTTGGGATGACGACCTCTTCTTGATAGTTGTATCACGCATACCAAGGTCCGGCAGAAGTGGTGGACCGCAAGCAGGACGTGAATGAAATTGGCAACTTCCAGGCGTGCTGGGGTGGAGGCAAGCTTCCGGGCATCCCGGTGGTCATGACTGGCGGCAAGAGCGAGCCACCAGTTGATTCGCATCCTCTTATGCACAGCCTCAACTCAAGCGACTCGCGTACTCCGGTCCCTTCCATTGCTAGTAACGAGGCGCCGGCCACGATTAGCAATATGACGACTCCGACGAGCACAGCCAACTTTGCTTTGGACCTGGGTCGTGGCGATATGCCTGGTTTGGAGGATGGGCAAGGGTCTCGGCGTGCACTCGGCGCGACCGGTTCCCTTGAGCATCGCATGTTAGGCTCATCAACTCCACCCACGCGCCTGTCAGCCCTGGCTCGTGGAGAACCGCGCGCCATGTCACCCAGCTTCCGGCCAGTTGATCTTCGGTCCACGCGTAGCGAACAGCCCTCGCATCTCTCACTGGACTCTTCGTCTCTTGCTGCGGAAGATGACACGGAGCTGGAGGGCTCGAGCCCCGGCTCCCACCGGCGCTGGCCAGTGATTCGACCAGATGGGACTCGTGACTCTCCACCAGTAGGCATGGCAGGCCCCGCTACGGTAGGATCGGAGGAAAACATTGTCGACACGATCGGGACGCCGTCATCAACCACGGCGCGGATCCGGCATGTGGTACTCTTAGACCCGACCAGCCCGGAGGAAGCCACACTCGAGAAAAGTGCGGGGACCAAGGGTTCGCCCATGACACCCGGCTTGCTTGATGTCCAGGCCGTTCGCCAGCATCGATCCAATTCACAGGAAACGGTGCATACGGTGCGCTCGGACTCGAGTTACACGACGGCGGCAGCGGGCTCGACGGCCCAGCCCAAGTGGGTACTAAAATCCAAAACTGCGTCAGCCCATCGCAAAGGCTCGCCCACCCATCGTCCCCCGCCGTTGAACCTGGCGGGCATCTCTCACACGCGTGGACCAAGCTCAGCTACGCTTCCGGGCGGCCCCGAAACGCCACGCGCTGCGGGGCCGTTTGCGATTGGCCCACAACCAACACAGGCCGGCAATCTGGTGATACCGGCCGGGGCAGGCCACACTCTGGACTCTGGGCACACGGGGTCCGGCTTTGCTCTACCGGTGCGGCCAAGTCCTTCGAATGGCGCAGCTGTCTCGCCACATCCGATACTGCCTGCTGGCGCCAACGCGGTGCAAGCCAACGGGAACACCCCGTATGCTTTTGGACCGATCCATAATGGCTATGTCAACGGTGGTGGTGGGTCCAGTTCCGAGGGCACGGATACACGGTCAGACACACGCCCCGTGTCCATGGTGTCCACGCGGTCAGATCAGAGTGTGCGTCAAATCTATGTTGCCCCAGTGGGGCCACCACGGGCTCGGGGCAGCGGGAGCATCGGTGGTGGTGGGGTGTATGGGGACGAACCTCCTTCACCCGCCGCCATGTCGCACACGGATAGCGTGCGCAGCCTGGTGATCTATGATGAGCCGACCATGGCCATGGACAGCTCCATCTTCAACTACAATTTTGGCAGTCCCATGAGTCTACGGGACCAGCTCAAATCCCTGCCCCGCGACCACAACGAGGCGCTGACGCCTTCTCCGACGGAGGATGCTCCAGGCTCCCCCTTGTTTGTGATGGGTGGGGCTCCGGAAGAGCCTCTCTCGCCATCGGGCGTGCACTTTGACGTGGCTGACGTAGATGAGTCCCACAGCATGGTGTAGGGGTTGAGGTGCGCAAAGCGATGCATCACGCACATGCGTTCATTGCCAACAGTGTGTGAGCCGTGAGGGTGAAGTGGAAATGAGGGCGTTGAATCTGAATCAATTAATTGCACACAAATGGCATGCAAGTGTTGCTTGAAGGAGTGTGTGGGAGACAATGGGGCACACGCAAGGGACAGAAGAACATGTCGGGTATGCTTGCGGGCAAGTGCAGGGGAACTCAAGTGTGCTCCAGGCCGGCAATCTGTTTTGGTGCAGCTTGCATCTTGATCTTGCGTACATAGGTGCCTGCCAATGCACAGTAGCGATACGCGTGCCTCGGCGTGTGAGGAAAGAACAAGCAACGCTATACCCGAGGAGGTGCTTGGCAAGACAACAAGACTAACCGGGAAATGAGCCCTCGTTGCCATCTTGATCTTGACCGTAGAACCACTCCTCGGGCGTGGCCCCCTCCTCGGTCACTCGCAGAATGTCGCCCATGCCAAAGGACAGATCGTCGGGATCGTCGGATTTGTACTCGTACAAAGCCTATGAGAGCGTTGTTGGGCCCATATCGATAAGCCGTCGAGAGCAAATGGTCAATCAAATACAACACTTGATTTGAAGTCCTTTGGAGCCCCGTATTCATTGAGGTGAAAAGGAAATCCAGCTCTCACGCACCTGGTAAAGAACATATTCGTGGGGTTGTAATTCACGCTTGGGAACTGGAACAGGCGTGGGGGAGGGCGGCTTTTCCACCTCGGCTTTGGCAGCACCGCCATTTTCCACGTCCACAGACAGGACCTTATTGCGCAGTTTGATCTTGCGCACGTAGGTACCGGGGAAGTTGCCTTCACGTCCATCCTGACTGCGGCCGTAATACCAGGAATTTGGCGAGCCATCGCCTGGGCATGCCGGGCACGTGAGTACTGGCACTGCAAGAGTTGTACCATGTGTGTGTGTGTGTGTGTGTGTGTGTGTGTGTGTGTGTGTGTGTGTGTGTGTGTGTGGTAATAGTAGGCCACGAACCTTCGTCGGTGACTTGCAGAATCTCGTTGGCATCAAACGTCAGGTCCTCGGGGTCACTCGATTCATATTTGTACAGAGTTTGATACAGAACATAGTTGTCCTCAGGCCCGTCATCCTCGTTTTGTCCGCCCTCTGCAAGATTTGAAATGGATGAAAGGGGAGGGGATGAATCACTTTCTGCGAGATGTAGCACGCCGTTGATGAAGGAGGCTGGATATATGTACCGTGGCTAATCACAGTGTCAAGTTTGGCAGGAAAGGTCACATGCGCACGGGCCTTTTTGCCGGATTTGAAGGCTGAAGGAGTGTCGGCGCACGTCGCATCGGATGGTAAGTTACAGAGTTCATGCCAACGCCAATGCCAGCTACTTGAGGTGGAGAACGAGATGCTTGTACAAACCTGACTTGAGCGCCATGTGTTGGCTGGGGGACACCTCCATCGGCGCAAATGGGTTACCAACGAGGGAATCGGTGCCACTAGGCCAAACAAGAGGTAGCGCATGAGGGGCAAATGAGCAACGGAAAAGGAGCAGTCACACGAGTATGAGGTGTCAACGCCGTAGATCACCGTACGTGCTGGGCAGACGGCGGCTACCAGCGCGGGGATTTGCAGGCGGTGCTGCAATCTGAAATTCAGCCATCTCGCAACGTCGGTCGATCAGCGCTTCACGGTGGTCGTCGGTGCAAGATGTGCACGCAGAAAGGGCGGTGGCAGACCACTTGGCGAGGAATCACAAAAAAAAAGGGGGGGGCAAGGGATGTGCGTTTTGAAAGCACAGCTAGCACCAGCACCAGCTCCTGCGGCGAGCGACAGCGACAAACGGCGGCACCGCTGGGACGGGGCGGCGTGGAGATGCTCCGGTTGAGTCGCTCTTGGTAGATGAAGCACCGCCGTCAAAGCCTTGTGCAGAGCCGCAAGTCGGCAAGGAGCTCGAGTCTACCAGATAACGGGCCATCCGGAGGCCCCATCATATGCAGATGGAAGCAGAAACAGCAGCAGAGGGTGAGACGAGGAGCTACAAGTTGACGATGAGTGGGAGCGGCAGCGCAACAAGCATACACACTTACCTATGATCGACGCCGAACCGAGACTAAGACCGAGACCGAGCTGCCTGATGCACCACCAGACGAGGCCCCGACAGAGACGAGACGAGACGAGACGAGACGAGACGAGAGAGAGAGAAGAGAGAGACGAGAGAGAGAGAGAAGAGAGAGAGAGAGAAGAGAGAGACGAGAGAGGCACTGCCGTATCTACAGCAAAAAATAAAGACAAAAAGACAGATAGAGAGGGAAAGGGAGAGAGGTATCGCTCGTGCGTCAA